CAACTAACCTACCCGTTTTGCGATCAACAGTTTTGATTGTTTCCACCTTGGACGGAGCGGGTTCGTCGAGAAGTGTCCCATCCTCCACATCGGCAACAGCCTCCGAATCTTGCCCCGCTTCTAGGAGAGGAGCATCCTGAATGGTGGGACCGGGCTGTGTTGATGAAATCTTGCCCTCTCGAAGGGACTTGTAACGGTCCTGCGTCGGGAAAACAAAGTTTTCATCGGGCCTCGTGATTTTGAAAACACGATGCAATTTCACGATATCATCAAAGTCCGTTTCATTCAACTCTTTCAATGATGCAACGAGGTAATCACCTCTCCATAGAAAGCCGGGGTGGATCACATATCCAACAAAGACTCCCGGATTGGAAGTGGGGTCAAACTTCAAGTCTTTCTTCGGTTTCTGTCTTGGACCAATCCAGTAGTCTATGCGACATCCGAACGGCAAGAACTGACCTTTGAACTCTTCCTCGAACCTAAGATTCCAAGGTGTCCTTGAACCAGAACAAACATTTTGAGATAGGCACCAATGCCTTGCGGCGTGCGGCCAGTATGAATGATTCAATCCGGCCTGTGCAAGTGCGACTCGAGTTCCCTCGAGCACGGTCCTGATGCTTCGTTCAGCCACCGCGTTCGATTTGTGAATGTACTCTTGACTGAGAACATGTCTCCAGCCCATCTCTTCAGCTGCAGCAATTAGCTCGGGGGCGTTGTCACTGTAAAATGTGCCAACCTCGTCTGACGAGGAAGTGATATGCTGAAACGCCTTCAAGGCGGCTTCTGTGCTTCTTTTAGCAAAAGGGTATGCATATTTGAAACCAGTGGCAGCGTCACTTATGACAAGGGCAGAGTACTCATCGTCTATGCCTAGTTCCTGTTCATCTGCAGTGATTATGAACTCGGCTGTGATGTGCTCAGCAATTTTTCAAGCATCAACTTGTCTGGATCCCCCCCGCGAGCGAGAGGGAGACTTGGTCATCTTGGCGCATTCGCACACTTCGCAGAATGGGTTCTTTGGCTGGTGCGTCATTAGGTGCTTCCGTGATGCTGCTTCCTGCCTTAGGGCACTTTCTGCAAGTGATCTAGGGGTTTTCTGATCAGGATTGCCAACAACATCTTCCCCTGCCAAATCTTTACTCTCTATTGGCTCCGCCTGTTCATTTGGTTTGACTTCACTGGGGTCATCCGCCAGAAGTTCAGCGACAACTCTAGCATGCACCTCAGGGTCCTCTAGAGGGGCAATGCTGGGCGTGTATTCCTCTTCCGCTGCATCTTCAGCTTGCACAGAGGAGTATGATGATTCACTGGATGCACTGCTTCCGCCGACCTGACCTTCCGGTCGGCTCCGCGGCTTGCCCTTGGCGGGACATGCCATGGCTGAATCGCCATCCCACACGTCGTAGTATGGAACATAGTCTCGAACTGTGAGATATATGCGCGTCCCATCAGGCTTGACAAAGAACGGTTTATCATTTGCGTACCAAATGAAGTCATAACCCTGATTCATGCACTTCAAACCAACAGAGAGAACAGATGGGGTTTGTGGCAACAAATATGGGTTTGTGTTGTCAAGGTCACCTGCGGCCATGTTGGCCTGTTTTGATGAATCACTTGGTCCATTGGCAGTCATCAACATCACGGGGTCATTTGAATTATACATTGCATATTCGGGGCAGTTCGCACGGGTAAAAAGGTCTGTTCCGCTCCCAGTATCGAAAATCCATGAACAGTTCGGAGAGAATCTCTTGCTCGCAAGCGCGGGCTTTGCGCCCATGTGTCTTGGGGTGCAGCGGTCGCATCCGATCTCGCTGTCACACTCGTATTTGCATTTGGCCGGACGGCCTTCCACTTCACGTCTTACAGTGTAAGCGAGCATGACCGCTTCGAGCCTAGCATCATCAATGTTGATCTGATCATGGAAAAATGGGTGGTCAATTGGGTACACCTTTGAATACACGCGCGGTCTGTCCGCGATTTTCAACTGCTCACCACGTGCTGGTATCTGATTTATTTCAACCCTCGAGTTGAAACGCACGCCCGGAAGGGCAGGCACATGCTTCCAGTCCGGCATGAGGTTCCCCTCAGCGATAGGGGCATTCATCATGGAGGACAGCAAGCATCCCAACACACAAACGGCAGCAGGAGATGGCTTTCCGGAAGACTTCCCCTTGTGACTCTTCTTCTTTTCTCCCTTCGAGTCACGGGAGGTGGATCGAGAGGTCGATTTGGAACGATCCCTGCTCGACTTGTGATGCTTCCGATCCTTTTTCTCCTTCTTCTGCTTGTCTGCGGATGGTTCCCTAGACCCGGGAACGGCCGGCTTCGGATCGATGTGAGCGAATGGGCAGTGGTCGCCTCGGTCACACCTCCCCTTAGAGTAGAAACGGCACTCTTTCTTCCCCTTCGGGCTGTTCGTCCGGCCTTTACCCTTACCCTTCTTAGGTTTAGCGTCTCTTGACGGGGTCCTACCCCTGGCATTGCTCGATGGCTGTTCATGCTTGTACGTGCAATTGTTCCGCTGACACGACCCGTACTTGACAAATGCAATGCAAAACCCTTTAGGCGCACGTTGGCTCTCAGCGGCGGGTGCGGCTGGCCTACCTCCGTTCTGCCTAGCAACCCGTTCTCGGTTGCGCTCGAGCCTGGCTCGAGACAGGTATTGCCTCACAGATTCAATCAAGTAGGTGTATGAGTGATCGGCGGACTCTTCCGAGGCGCTCAAATAGACATTCAAATGGTGTTGCATCTGCTTGCTTTTTTTCAGCTGATTGTAGAACAGAGCCTCAAGCATGGAGTCATCCGGCGTCTTGGCATTCATTCCTGCAAGGACGCCTTCCCGGCTACGCATGAAGGAAGTGAGGTTATCGTTCACGAGCCTCACGTTGTGGAGATCCTCCATGGCGTAGGTGGCTCCGTGCTTGATGTTCGTACTCAAGTGCTCGTGCACCATGAGGAGTACTTGTCTTCCACGAACAGGATTCCTCCTCTGCGCCTCGACCTCCTTGAATGTGTCGACTTGTCTTGCCAGGTCACCCTGAATGATGTTGGTGAGGGCGGACAACAACTTGGCGTCCAATGTGAGGAAGGCACCTGGTTCTTTAAGCTCCTCGATCGTGACGGCAGGCCCCCACACTCTGCTGATCCACGTAAAAGCGTCATCGGGGCGATCAGACGCCGCGCGCACGGCTTCCCGAACCTTGATGCGCCAATTCCTGTAACTCTCAGGAAGTGGGAAGGAGGGAATGATAATCCTCTCCGCCTCCTTGACCTTGGGCTTATCATGGTCTACGTACACAGCGGTCGCCTGCTTACCCAAGATCTTGTTGAGCTTCTTGCGGATCGCTCGGGCTTTCCCCGATGACGATGATGAGGATGATGATGTTGAGGAGCTGGACGATGAAGAGCTCGGAGAGTCAGAAGGAGACCCACTCTTTCGTTTCTTGTGGCTCTTCTTCTTCTTCTTCTTCTTTTTGTCCTTCTTGCTCTTCTTCTTCTTGTCCTTCTTCTTCTTCTTGTCCTTCTTGCTCTTCTTCCCTTCATCATTTCCATCGTCATCGTCGTCGTCGTGATCATCGTCATCATCGGGCTTGCCGGCAGGTGGTTCCCCACCGCCTCCGCTCTGGCCTTTACCTGCGCCTGATGGATTCCTATTACCATCATTGGGGTCCTGTGCCGGAGATGTCGGTTCATATTCATCTGCATCACCATCAGGATCATCAGCGGCACCTGGCCCATCACGGCGGAGTTCGGTGGAAGCTGACCTGACACGTACCTTAGAACTAAGATCCAGGCCGGGAGGAGGAAACGTCTGTACAGGAGAGGCCTTCGGCCTCAGTCCGAAAATCGGAACATTAGAAGAACTACTTTGCTCACCACGAGACTTCAGTTCATGACGTAGTGCCTCAATGTCCTTCGACTGCTTCATGATGATCTCTCTCATCTCAGCAGCACTCCTGTCTGCGTCCTCCTTCTGCTTGCTGCTCGTGACTTCCCAAATCAATCTGAGCTGTTCATACTTCTTTTCAGCTTCTAAGCGTTGAGCAACCCACTGCTGTCTTGCCTCGTTGTACTCCCTTTCCTTCGCCATTGCCTCTTGTTGGCATACATTGATGTGATTCACCGCGTCCTGGTAGAGTCGGCCTTTTTCCTCAACATGGCCTGCTTGGAGCTGATTGATGATGGCGTCGTGGCGTGCCGAAGCATGGGCAGCCACTTCTTCCGTACTCGGACCTGCGTTGACCACATTCACCGTCTGACTGTGTTGGTATATGTTCGGGGCGCACACATGATGTTGATGAAGGTGAGTCTCATTCTTAGTCATGTGTGCATGCATCTCTTGCCCTGGTTGATGTCCGGCGAGAGGTTCCCCTCCGCTTCCCATTGAATCCTCCGGAAGGACGACCGAAGTGATGGGCACAAGCGCATCACCTTGGTCGGACTCAGGAAAACTGCTTCGGGAGCGCTGCGACGGATTGCATGGCGTTTTCCCTTCCGGATGCCCACCCTTGATCAATTCATTGGCCACTGCTTCGTTCATCCTTGCTATGGCAGGGTGGCATCCGTCGCCGCTTGACGCCATTGCGGCGCGGGTGAGAGCTGACTGTACAAGGTACCAGCGATACGGCTGATAACCTGTTGAAAGGTGGAATCTACCTAGAAATCAGCACGGGCAGCAGCTAGTTTTTCTTGAGCCAATCATCACGTCGGTATGCCACTACCTAACAACAGGTGCTAACATTGGAGCCCGTTTGGTGGGCAAGGAGAAACTCAAGAGGAAAACATAACATGTGTGAGGCTCCCCTAGTTTAGGACATGAATTACTGACTTTCCTGTAGACTTTCAATCATTCTGAGCAGAGGGTCACCCTTTTGAAACCACCCTGTGGTGCTCTTTCAGGAAACCCAAACCCAAACAACCCGATCTTTCCAGACTGCGCTGAATGCCTTTTCCGCCCTTCCTCCGGACTCCGAGCGTCCGAGCAAATCCGAGCACCGGGCCGGGGCGCGCAAGGTGGCTCCGCCCAGCAAGGAGCTGCCAAGCGAGCCGTAGGCCTCAGACCCATAAGTTTTCCGCCGCCGCGGGCAAAATGGCCTTCCCAGTGGAAAAATAAGGTAAGTCCCCCCTGTGCGGAAATGGTGAATTTCCCAAGCCTCTGCGCTTGGGACCGGGTCCTGAAGCGTGTATTCCAAAACGAGGACCCCCCTTTTTGGTTGGCAGGGAAGGAAGGGTGAAGCAAGCATTTGTCGGGCACCCTTGTCTTGAGACGCTCATGTTGCCCCCGTATTATCACCCCAGCGGAACGAAGCTTGCTTTAAAAAGTGGCCTAAGGGCTGATGCTTAACAACAGGGAACTCAGTTCAAAGCTTGCAAAAGCATGGCGGTGGAAAATAGCCACTCATTTGTCACTTTGGGGGCCTTGATATCGCAGAAAATGGCCTTAAAGTTGCATTTCCTCACAACGTACAAAACCAAATGCCCCCTCGATGCCCGTCGAATTCCGATTCCACGCCTGTAGGTGTGTTGGGAGGTACATTCAGCGCAAGACTGACCTAGTTTGCTTCAGTTGCCAGTACAACGTGTAAACAGTGAAAACGACTAGCTGCCAGAGTGGCAACTGGCACTGAATAAATATCGACAAATGTTGTGTTCCTTTCCATGCGAAGAAGCGGCCATCAGAGCGATGTGCTTCTGCTGACAGTACCTAGGCGGACCCGACGCAAGCTCCCTCGGCACCGGTTTGGGCCTGTTCTGTGGCTGTCTCGAAACGAGCTACGAGTCCTCCCAATGGCTAGTAAATCATGATGGTAAAAGATCCTTGCATGTACCCCTTCACCAAGAACTCATACTTGATATACCCTCCCCACTTCAGAAATTGGAATCTTCTTGCCGGTTGCTTTCACCCAAAGTCTCCTGACCCCTGGTCATTTTGCCTCCACCCCACTTCACTCCCAGCTTTCTGACTTTGACCACTGGAAGCCCGTTGTCCAGCAAGCCGCTTCCGCAAAGCAGACTGCGGCCACCAGGGGTGCAGCTCGACCTGCACCGGACTCCAACAAGACACGACTGGACCCATCCGGGAGACCTCCACCAAGTACCGGGAGCGAGCAAGCGCCATGGCCCGGAGCTGGTCACGAGCGTCGTCTCGAGACTTGGATGCAATCAAAATGTACTTTCCTGGCACGCGACTCGGCAGGTTTCCTTCTGGCTTTCCTTTCAAGCAACCAAACGAGGGCCCCATTCTTTTTTTGGCTCATCTGTTCACAAATTTAAGTTGAACCTGTGGACTGCGACTGTACAACTGTACAAACTGCATTTGTCCAGCTACTTTCCGGTGCCTTCTGCCTGGTGCTGCAGGTATTTCAAGGTGTGCATAGATTCGGCAGCTGTCCGTTAGCACCAAGCAAACGCGCCTGTGAGACGGACAATATATATACAGCCCCAAGATCTGTACATCACTGAAGCCTTGCAAGGTTAGTGGAAGCCTCACATCTTCTCCAGGATGAAGAAGGTCAGTGCCCCGTCAGCCCACGGAAACGCAATGAATGCACACAGAAATCAATCAAGTTGCTCCTTCCGGTACCCACTGGCCATCTCGCACAACATGAAAGGTGCGATCCTGCATGGATGCAGGTGGTCGCGCTGGAAGCGGGAATGAGTGCCAACGTCGATGATAGGTTCTGTACTTGATCACCCATTGTGGATAAGCGCAGTCTTGGCCAACTACACGCATGACGCTGTCATGCTTGACGGTGTAGTAGTTTGACACAACGCAAACGAACAGGTGTTTCCATCCTCCCGTCTGATGGGCATAGCCAGTGTCGCTGTATTGCGCGTTGTATGCGAACCAGGTGCCATAGCCAGGACCACCACTGCGACAGCAAGAAGTCTTGAAACCATGACTGAGGATACGCTCATAGTTGTGCGGGCTCCTGCAGCCGTGGAACATGAGTGTGTTGTCCCCATTGCTCAGAAAGCGCTGCTGAACGCTCTGTCGCGTTATCCGGGAGAGTGAATGGATCTCGGCCGCACTGAACAGCGTCTGCTTGAAATACCAAGTAACTGCTTCATACTCTGGCGAGCAGGCATCGATCTCCTCCAGGCCATAAAGCTTGGGCTGCTCAGGCTTCCCACGAAGGCACTTGCCTATCCGCAGGCTCTGCCCGGATTCCTTGCCTGCAAACGCTAAAGCAGAAGCATGAGCTTCCGGGAAGGGCGGATCCACTGAAACTTGCACGTGAGGCACGTGAGGCACGGGCAAGATCTCGTCATGCTGCTTGGGTGTCGCCACTTTCGGCCTGGAGCTGACGACCTTGGGCCTTGCGGGCACTAGCTGGCGATACGTCTCTGCGGTACTTTCTGCGGCGCGTTGCGCCATTTCCCACCGCGTCGGCTCCTCTGACTTGTTGGAGGCGCTGCTGGAGGTTGAGCAAGAACTACGCGTCGAGAGACCTGAAATCCCAGAGTAAGTCGACTCAGAACCGCTATCCCAGTCCACTTCGGACAGGTCGTCAAAGTCATGAAACCACTCCAGAGACCAACTGTCAAAGTTCTCCCAATCTAGTCCTTCACTCTCTCTTGACATCATCCAACTTTCCTGCTCCTGCGGGCTTCTATATTTTTTGGACTTAATCTGACCGGCATCGATCTTCTGCTGTGAGTGCTTGTTCCTGTGGGCCAGCCTTGCAGTCGCATGCTCGCGGGATTCCAACCTGCGCAGCCACTTGCTATCAACTGACTTGGAGTACGAGGAACGTCCTGATGTGTTCCTGCCATCCAAGAAGTGGCGATAGCCCTTGCGCATGGGCCATGCAGTCTGCTTGCAGAAGTCGAGCTCGAGTGCCAGTTCTGCCATAGCCTAGCGTCTGAGCGCTTTTGCACCTTGCCTATTGATCCTTCGACTGACGAGACTTGAGCCAACATATAGGTCTGTAGGTCCATCAAACCACCCAACAGTCTCATGCTCCCCCCCCTTCCCCCTCCCCGGCCTGGTTCACCGCCACAGGCCTCTGCGGACCATCCGACAGCAACTCCTCCAGGTGTCGCACCCCGAAGTTGGACACGCCGAGGGCGCGGGCCTCCCAAGAGACATGGGACCCGTGACGACCCCTGCACAAAGTGAATGGTTTCCTTCCAGTCGCAAGCCTCCATCCAATTTCCGAGCAGAAAGAAAGGGTCCGCAATTTCGGCAACGAGCGTGTGTGAACTGCCTTCACCTGGTTGATTAAACAAGTGGCACACACTCTAGAACCGGTTTGGATCCCCTTTTCTTGGCTTTCACCTGTGCTCCAAACCATTTTCTAGACATTTGTTTGCGAAGAAGCGCCACCATAGATTTCGGGGTGTCCAATGAAAGAGATTCGAATAGTCTTCAATGAGTCCATTCCCAGCAAACTGTGCAGCTGGAAACGTCTAGCAAATGGACGTAGGGCGCTGTGAAACTCGTTTCTCAATTTCCATGCGTTGCTTCCGAATCACAGCAAGCCTCCACCAAAACAGCATCTGAATGAGCTGAGAATCCGTGTTTTCCACGCGAATACAAGCTAATGTCCAAACCTCGTCCCAGTTGCTCATTTGCAATCCTGGGAAAATGCCATGACACATGAACGCCTTTTAGGCCGCAGTTGCCAAAATGCTTCCAAAACTGTGTGTTTTGTAAGTTGATGTCTCCCACAACAGGGGTGTGTTGCAGTTGTCCCCGAAAGCTGGGCGGCTTTTCAGTTGGTTTCCCGAAAAAACACGGCTCAGCCCAACAGAAGGGTTTGTCTCAAAACGGGGACCCTCAAACAATTGTTTGTTTTCCTTTTGGTCTCCCTTTAAAACCATCCCAAAAAGGGTACCCTCCACAAAGGACAGGCCCAGAAGCCGCCCCCGGGCTTCGCCCCCGCCTTGCCCTCCGCGTGTGCTCGCTCCAGCCCCCGCCACGCCGCAGCCCGGCACCGGCGCCAGCCGCTTTTGGCGCAGAGGGGGATCGGCGCCTCAATGGGAACAAGGGAGATCGATGCAAAACATTCTTCAAAAGTGGCTGTGGGTCAAAAAAACCCAAATGGAATCCTGGTACATGGAAACATGGACTAAAACCTGCGGTCTCCTGGTGGTTGAATTTCGACCCATATCCAGCTCATTCTCCATGTCTACCATGTCCTTTCAGCCTTTAAGCCTTTTAACGTTTAGTTCTGCTGTGACCATCTTAGGAAGGTCTGCACCAACCATCGCAAAAACAAACGAGAAAAAACACGCCTGCTTGTCGAAGTTGGCCGGCCAATGCAGCAACACCTGAGTGGTTTCATCGCCGCTGCATGTGGAATCGGGATTTCCATGGCGATTCCCTCAGTACCTCAGACCATGACCTTCAAACCTATTTGTCTACGACCATGCTTGTTGGGCGAGCAGTTTCTTGTTGCTTCGATAGCAGGGAATGAGGGATGGCCCTAACCTTCCTTGTGGGTTCCTAGGGAATCCCTGTCCCCAAATCCCTTGGCGATCTCAGAACCAGCAAGGCCTGGGATGTGGCAAGTCTCGGAGTTGCACCAAATCAACGTAGGTGCCAAGTTCCTCCACGGCTCGGGCAACCGCAGCATAGGTCTCTTCTTCTCCTCAGAGAGTTCCCATCCCTATGACTTTGTCTCCCTATGACCTATGACTTTGTCACTTTTTCAATTCACACGAAAGTGGCTCAATGATCTTCCACAATTATGGCTGAGTGTTCTTGGTACTCGGGGTGGAACCCCATATGCGTCAATGCCCCATGTAGGTTCATTTACCCGCGGTGGGGTGCCTCAAAAATGGCTGGTGTCCTTTTGGATTCCATTTTAAGACCATCTAAAAGGCGTTCATTCCTCAAATGTTCGGAGAAACACAATGGTTTCCCCCGGTGGCCACTTGTTGACTGTACAGTCCTACCGTCACGGCCATTATCCCAGCCCCTCCAAGAGCCAGGCCCATCTCCGTGGGAGGGATCTTGGTGACCAGGAAGATCTGCAGAGAATTTTTTGAGGCCCTTGTTATGTGAACTTCGGATGACTCCGCAGGACCTCGCCAATCAGGGCTGGTTCCAACTTTTAGTAAGGAAATGATCTATCAAAAGGGGCTCCACAAAAACTAGGTCCCCCGGATGGATCTAAAGTTAACATTCACATGCTTCATGTTGACACTATTTCCTTTTGGCTCCCCGCTGGAGGGATCCGCGCCGCAGTCTGGTTGCCTTTTTCGTGCTAAACCTGGACCGAAAACGAATAAAACCGCCAACCGGGTCCCAAAAGCCAATGTACGAGGAACGGCGCTGCGAAAAACACCGCCTGTTTCAGAATTTCGGGGTGGGCAATGACAGCACAACTCACCGAATATGGATGTCAGCTACAAAAAGTGAGGCACATGAGACCTGTCGCAGGTGGAATTTCTTTGCCCTTTGGCGCTCTGGTGGTTTGCAGCTTCTGGGCGACCGGCGCCTCTTCCCGGGGAACCGTGGCGGAAGCAATGGCCCTGCCAATGTCCGGATGGTTCTCGTAGAGTACCGCGGTATCAACCTGGGAGGAAAAGGGTCAAACGGTCATAACTGAAGGAAGCCATGGACCTCTTTGAACCCAGTTGATGGGTTGGTTCACATCCATTGGTTGATTGAGAGCCACCTTTAGGCACATGGATATGGATTAGTTAAACAGCATAGGCAACGACATCGCTGAGCCTCCCACCAGTCTGCCACCCAGACGGAAGAAGGACTTCAGCGAGTCTTGCACCTGTCTGGCTGCACTCTCTGCTGCAACACCAAGGGGCCCCATCCTCTTTTTGACATGGCTTGGAACGCAAGAGTTTTCTCAGCCACCCGACCATCCCGGGATGGTCGGGTGGAACCTAATTCTCCCCCGTAAACATCACCCCTTCCGGAACCCGGAATGTGAGAACAAGCCTTTTGGCTCTGGCGACGAGCCCGACTCATCCACGCCTTTTGGCCCTGGAAGCCATTGGTGCCGAAGCCCCGCAGCGGCATGCGTGCGGGGTACCTCGATTCGAAGATTCGGCTCGTTGCTAAGGCCACGGTGGAAATGCAGAGCTCTTGCCTCGTTTCGTGCGTGTCTTGTCCTGTCCCCCCAGGTAAACAATAGGCTGCCAATATCGCTTTGCTCAATGTGCCACCAAAACATTTCACACCCAACTAACAAATTTAGGGTGCATCCCCCAAAAGAGTCAGCTTCCTTTTAGCTTCCCCGTAAAACATCAACCAAAACAAAAGGGCTCTCCAACTAAACAGGAGCAGGTCTGTCGCTCTCCCACCGGGCCCCGCACCCGCGCAACTGGACACTTTCGTCGGCCTGGGTATCGGGCGGCGAAAGCAGAAACAAGGGGTTCGAGATTTCGCTGGGGTACCCCGAACAATGCACCACAACGAATCACAAGCAAAATGGCTACAAGAGGATTCGGCAAACTCAGTTCATGAAAGGGCTGGGACGGATTGCTGTCGGCTGAGGCTTCCAATTCGTTTTTCTCCTCGAGTCGGCAAACCGCCTTCCCCGCCTGACTCGTGGGCTGTTCCCGGAGGATGAAGCGCGCACAAAGTTCGCCCACCAGCCGTGCGGGGGCATCCTGGCCCGATGTTGCGCTGGCGACAAAGTCCAAAACCCCTGGAGCCTTACTATAGCCTTCATGAAACCAGGCGGCGGAACCAGCTACTAAAATGGCCAATGGTGTTTTAGGCGGTCATATGGGGTGTCAGCTCCGGAGAATATAAATGGGATTGCAGAAAGTGGTTCCCAAAGCTGCTCCACGACCTGGAAAGAAAAATTGCGCATATGGAATGTGCAAAAGTACACAAGCCGATCACAGTCAAGTTCCAATTTGTTTGGACGTCTTCAAGTGGCAACACAATTTCATTAGAACTTTTTCTGGAGCGCCGTCGCACTCAAACCTCGTGCCGGGCTCGCGGAGTGGCCACTGGGCGACTCGGGAAAGACCGAGGTATCTGCCACCTCACGCGCCGGGCTCATGCGTTCCCGAAGCGACAGGACGGACGGCCACACTTAGGCCAAGCCGCGCGAAGCTTCCGCGTACCCAAGACTCGGAGCCTCAGCCACGCGGCAAGTCTAAGGTAGGAAGCGTCAAAATACAAAAAGAAGATGCCACAATTGCTGTGGCCAAACTTAGAAAATGGTAACATCCCTGGACGCAACTGTCCACCGGAAGGCCAGTTCCAGTATTGGTTTCTTGTGTCTGTACCTAGGGTATGGGTTTCGCCGGCTCAATGTCTCCTAGCGCCCAGCTGGGAATCGACGACTCCGGGCTGTCCAGGTCGATCAATGCGAGCCGTCCTGCAGGCTGCTGCTCGAATCCGAGCAAAGCATGGGGGAACGTTTTAGCTACCAACTGTTTGAAGAACACAGCAGCCAGGATTTGAGCACATGAGACAAGCACTGTGCCAACTACACAGCTGCCCACATGCGCACACAGTGAGAGAGGGAGATAGAGACCGCCGCCTATGTGGGTATTCCGCTCAATAAATGTGAAGCTCTTCCTCCAACCACACGCCATTTGTGTGCTCACACCACCCAGTACAAGACTGGAACGAAACAAAAGAACATGTCTGAACATGCATGCTGTCATGGCAGGTGTTAGATACAATCGAGGGGAAGCTAACTGCTTGCATACAAGAGAAATTGGTCTTGAGAGATAGACCCATACCGTGCATTACACTGCAATGCATACGCTTCGTTTAAGGTGGAATCAAAATATCAAAGTCCCGCCCCACCAACCTGGGCTTTTTGTCTACCTCCCACGCCGGGAAACCCTAGAAAGACGTGCTGGCCGACCGGAGTCTTTGTCCGACGGGCGCAAGCTCTTCCAGAGGAATCTTCCGTCAAAGGCCTGAGGCCTTCGCTGCCTCAGAGCCCAGAACCAACACGTGATGATGAAGCTCCGGATGCCGGAGAAGTGCTTGTGGGGAAAGCGCCAGCCTGCGATACAAACATGACAGACCCAACTCTCGCTCAAAAGCGAAAAGGCTCAGCCAGAATTGTGGTTTCCGATGGCTGACAACTAGCTTGCAACCCGCCAACTATAACATGTGTAGAGCCTGTGGAGCGTTATCCTTCTGGAGCAGACGCTTTTGAGGCTCCATTTCTTGGTGTCAGGGGTGAGGTGCCCCGACAAGCAAGCAGGTTAGGTCCTCCCCATGACCCGCGGTGCTTCTGACCATTTCCCTGACTTCCTCTCTTTTCCTACATCTCCCTCGAAACTTTCACGAAACTCATCTTGCTGGCACTCACATGGTGCTGAACACCAGGGCACATGGGTGTGGCTCAAAATTAAACAGGAGGGGTTACGCAGGTTTTGGTCCATGTTTCCGCTTACCAGGGTTCCATTTTGGGTACCGGTTTTTTGAGCAACAGCCACATTGCGACATACCAGGAGTCCAGGAGCGCCCATCCTCGCCTCGGTCGAAGCCGGGCATCCGCTCGCAGCTCTACCCACAGCCGCTGGCATGCGCCCAAGTCCTCCTCCTCTACGCCTGCGGTGAGAACCGGGGCCCTGTTCGAGCTTTAAGTCCCCACGAGGGGCAAATAAGAAACCATTAAGCCATCCCCTATGGTATCATTTAAGGGAAACCCTAGGTTTCCTTTTGGTTTACCAAGAGGGTCATTTTGAGGGTGCCACGTGCTATTAAGCGAGCCACCGCGTTGCCGACTGTCGCTGGGATCCCGGAATGTTGGATGAAACACAATGATATCATTGCCATGAGACATGAAACCGGAAAGAAAACAAGGGCGTTGGATTGTATGAGCTCTTGCCCTCAAGAAGCTAACTGCAAAGCCTGGGCCTGGCCCACATTGCAGTACAAGCAGCGTTCAATAGATTGTGTATATATATATATAATGCATTGCATACATATGTATGTATCTCCTTCCAGTATCACCCCAAGCGAACACAATTCACATCACCCTGGCTTTTCAACTATTGACTTTTTCCACTTACCCAAGCAAACATCTCTGCGACCCTTGTGCCACACTTTACATCCTACTGCAGAAAACTCCGCCAGCTACGTGCCCTCCGTCCGAAGCCGCGCCTGCGAAGAGGGCCTTGCACACGGTTTTCAGAAGTTCCGGGTCGAGGCCCATGACGAAGGGGTGCGATGGGATGAGCGTGGCCGCGAAGATCCGGGGCTGCGCCTCCAGTTCCAACCAAAAACCACGGAGAGTTGTTTGGTCAATGGGCGCGTTTGCGCCTTTTGAGGGCACCCTTTTCGTCCTGATATAAAGGGAGGCCACAAGGTAAAACACAACTTTTGGAGGAGGATTTTAAGGGAAAGAAAGTCAAACGGGATTCTATTTTGACACATACCGTGGAACATGTAACCTCTGACAGGTGGTCCCTGCCCCTTCCCACACACCTGCAAAGTGACATGGGCTCAACTTGTTACGTGGGGGAAATGCACGAATATTAAACCAAGAAGCTTTCTCTGAGAGGTCTAACTGACAAGTGATGGAAACCCAGATTTCAATCAATCAAACGCAGTCCTCTCAGTTTCCCTTCCGAAAGAAGCTGGGAGGCATTATTGGAGGATATCCTGAACAGCAACCAAACTGTGGGACTCAACAAATTGATACTCCGTCTCGAACCCCCAAATGCGGGTCTGATTGCGTCGGCCAGTGATACCGCTGGCAAAACCACCTTCCCAACGACAAACCCTTCACTCACATAAAGGGAATCACTTGCCTGGTATCCTAGAAATGGGGTCTCTCATCTTGCTTGTTCTGTACAGAACATCAGAACCCCCCCCCCCTCAAACCAATAAATCTGTGGGAAGGTTGCCTGCCAGGCAACTCAAAAGTACAGTTGAGTCCCTGAGTGGGGTGGGAATGAAGAAACTCAACCCCCCCCCCCTCCTCCCGACCCAATGTGGGTTGGGAACCCTTTGGCGATGTCCACCAACCGCTTTTGAGGTGGCTTCCTATTGACATTCAAAGCCATCTCCTTGAGCAAGCGGGCCAGGTCCTCGACCCCCCATCCCCGAGCCTCCAGGGCCAAGGCTCTTTGGCCCCAGCAGATCCGCAAAGTGCCCTCGCCCTTCGCGGCGCACCACTTGGCCACGTGTTGCAGCAGAAGAGCTGCCGGCAGCTCGAACCAACCTGCGAAGTTCTGCTTTTGTCGGAACGGCTCACTTTCTTGCAGCGATCCAACTCCGCCCGTCAGGAAGCATGATGACACTGCAACGACGAACCAGTATGCTAGCCCCAATAAATTCAGCCGCATCATGATGAATTTGGCAGCATCATGATGATACCGTGGCTACGAGCCGTTGCGCTACATACAAGGACAGACAGGGTCTGAATGAATTCAGCGGCATGATGATGGTTTTCGCTGCATTTCTCAGCCACGAACTGGTACGCGCTACACATGGGCACAAACAGCGTTCTCGAATGAATTGAGCAGCAGCATCAGCCACAAACCATTCCGGGCCACATACAACTAATGAATCGAGCAGCAGCATGATGATTTTGACAGCGTCATGATGCCACAAACCACTACGCGCTGCACACAAGCACAAACACTGTCCTACACCCAACGCATAGCTTCTTGACCAGCGCCCAACACGGCGCCTGATCAGGATCGCCAAGCAAGCACCGCCAGCAGCCACCCGGAGCACCCTGCCGTCAATCTCGCAAATGTGCGCCCGCACAGTCACCAGCACCCCCAAACAGCAACCCCCCTAGCACCGTCAATCTCACAAACATGCGCTTGCACCGGCACCACCAAAACAGCCCCTGCACCAGCACCCCAAACTGCATTCCCTAGCACCCAGCCGTCAATCTCGCAAAACACTCTCCCCTCTTTATTCGAAGCTGGAACCCCTATAGCTTTCAGCTGGAACCCCTATAGCTTTCAGCTGAAACAGAGTTGTTTCAATTAGTTGCTAGCCCGCTGTACGGTTGCGGTTTTGCCATGACTATTGCCGTCCCCGCGTTAATCAATCAACCTGGCGGATTGATAAGGTGCTCCCCAAAAAGCGATCCGGATTCCCTCTCAAGCTGGGACACAAATTACAGGGCCGTATTCATCCTGGGCACCACTGCCGAGGGGCCGCTCTTCATCTCCACCAGCGCCACGACGCGGCCGTCACAAATCTCTGCGCCCCCCGAGCCCAAAGCGACGATGGCCACGTCGATCTCCCCGCACACACGCTGCTTTTGATCCACCCACTCGCAGCCTCGCAGGAACCCAAACTCGCCTTCGGGCAGGCCGTGCGACTCCTGAAAAGGAAATCGAGTGCCATTCAGAAAACAAAGCGCAAAGCAGGAAGTAAAGCGGTGTTGGCATTTGGGAACTTGCGTGGACCAAACAACACAGAAAGAATATGCCGTTACGTGTGGATCCAAACCATTGACCAGCAGAACCCCCTTGCTTCAAACTCAAGCGACATGGTTGCAGAGTCACTGGACAAAATACTTCAAGTACCAACCCCCGAATCCACCTACCTGGCTTGCTGCTGTCGCCCAGAGTCCCGGAACCACTGAGGCATGCGTCAAACAAGTTGGCTCCATGCGAGCTGGTTCTACCCAGATTGCTACAAAGGATGAAATGAGCTTTGCTATCACCCTCACAAAACCAGGTAGTAAGACCACCTACCAAAATGGCCCAACAAAAAAAAAGGCTCTGGTCGCTCAAAACTCCCTTCTCGTTGGTGGTCTCTAGGAAAACCACGCCTGAAAGGAGCTTTGAGAATCCCGTAAAATGTTCACTTTGAGGGACAGAGTGCTCCCCCACATTTTTCCTCTTCAAACGTCAACCCTACCAATGGAAACGCAACTTGGGCAAAAGGATGCTTAAAACCACCGGAAAGGGACATGGGTATGTGTAATTTGGTTTCCCTAACGAAGCTGGGAGAAAAAACAAAAACAAAAAACATATTAATATGAGATACCGTGGATGCACAAAATGCACCAGTTGGGAAGCATGCCCCCCGAAAAGAAAAAAACAAGTTCCTTCAGCGCTTCCAGCGCCAAAGCCGCCGCCAGGCGCATCTCCTTCGCCTCGAAGGCGTCCCCGTGCCAGCGCCGGTCGTGGCCCTGGGCGCGGTCCAGCACCTCGTAGCCTTCCTCGAGCGGCCGGGGTCTTGCTGAGACGAGCCACGCAAAACGAACGAAAGAACCAAGCAAAAACGAAAAAACACCGGTTTTTGGAAGGGGGGGGGGTGTTTCTTTTCGGGTTATGCGGAAGAAGCACACTTGCACGGGTTTGAAATCATGCAAACAAACGTTGGCACGATTGTGGGGGGGGTAGAAACTATTTGAGTCTTAAGTTTGGGCTGACCTTCTGAGAAACGTGGTAGTTCAAAGTCCAGCTCAGGTAAAGCCGGTGTTCAACACCAAAAACGGCGTCCCGGGCTCGGAATTTGGGAACCCCACCATTGTTCAAAATGATATTTCTACTGTTGTCCCCTATTCAGGCTATTGTTTTCTATGGAGTGACTGATCCTCCAAGCTATTGACAAACAATGATGTTTCAGACCAGCAATTTCGGAAACATGAATCGCATCCTTTCCAGGTTGTTCTTTTCGGAAAGAGGCCAGCCGTTGCTGAAACCACGGAGCAAACCCCCCCGGCCCAAACAATGGCACCTGTGGCATCTTTGTGAGTAAGACCTGCGCAAAACGGTGCATCTGTGCATCCACCCAGGGACCAAAATTGCCCCTTTTCAAGTCACATTCCAAATCCGCCTGGACCAGTGGTGTCCTTTTCGGCCAGTCGTTTCTGCCAGGCTTCCCAGAGGTCTCGAGCTCCGCTGGCCTCCCAGAGGTTTTGGACGCGGCCCCAGCGGAGATGGCGTGGGTCCACCTGCATGTGACACAGCCTCTGCCACGCCCCCGGTCAGTGATTCACAAATATGTAATTTAGATATGGGTTTAAAAAAATACGAATATGAATTTAAGGTACTAGGATGTATTTTGTATGCTGTTGGAATAGTGAGATCCAAGTTGCTGCCTTCCCTTGCCAAGAATTGGGCTCTCCCGGGGCAATGGAAGAGTCTGGCGGTAAGCTGATTCCGAATTCTTTTCACCCATCGTTCTGTTGAGACACCACCCTCAATACTCGTGTTTGCCCATCTTCATTTTCTGAAAGTAAAACCGATTTACCAGCCAAGACCATCTCCCAAGAACATCAACCGGAAAAACGACACCGTGAGCAAATTGGAGGCATAGTGCTGGCGGTGAACAAAGGGTTATGAGCCCCTCCCGCTGATATTGAAATTCAGCAAGTCCCACGTGGGTTATCGACAACTCTCCATGTCCAATTGACATTCATACGCAGTTTTCAAATGAATCATGGAGGGTGCCCCTCTGGTTTCAAGCAAAAATGTGCTTGCCCCGCAAAAAACAATGCCGCCCATACTCAAATCACCCGACCCCAACATGTTTGGTGCCTTTTGCTTTTCAGTCATCCAAACACGGGTCAATTTTCCCCACACACACACACCATGCACTTCTGCAAAACACCTTAGAACTCCAACAAACAACTCCAGATGCAAAGGAGCCCTTCTTTCGGGCACAGGCTTTTTGGGCTCCTTCTGTTGATTTGCGTGAGGCCTTATTGTCACCGACCGCTTCTGAGGAGGTTCCTGCTCAACAATCATGTCCAAATGATCCACCCGAATCTGAATGGTTCGAACACCCTGAAAACTGGTTGGTGGACATAACCCCCGCATTTCTGCCCACAGAATCCAACATATTCAAATCCACACTCTGCAAGTTGACATGATAAATAAACAAACTCCGTCCATCGCCTCTACAAACATCGAGGTTTTGGTTGGGGTGTCTGTGGTCATGTGTGTGTTTTCTTTGTTTTTCTATATATACATATCTATATATATATATATATATTGGCTGGTTCTTGACGTTTTGTCTCGACGTTTTATCTTGGGCTGAGCTGACCTGGCCTCCAGCTCCTTTTTCAGCTCCTCCGCGCGGAGCCGATGCTCCAGGCGCCTCTCCTCCTCCTTGGCCGCGAGGGCTCTGAGCCTCAAATCGTCCCAAGGGAATCTACGGCTTTTAGGCCAGTCGAAAAGTCAAAACTTGGATGGCCTTGGAGCGCCTTGGAGCAGGAAAAACCACCGGTGAACCGCTGGCGGAGTTAGCTCAAGACGTTGGATCCAAGTCCCGAGCGAAAAGCTTTCGGTCACCAAAGACCAGTCACTGGTTGCACCTGGGAAAACCAAAGCCCCGAACAGGCGGGGTGCGACTTTGGTCTTGTGTCTAAGTTAATTTGGCGTTGTTGTTTTTGGTTTTGGTTTGGGAGGGCTCTTGTGCGCTTGTGACTTGCGTGGTTCTAGTGCTTTGACTTTTCCGAATCTTCCACCCAGGGACTGCTGGTTCAGCTCCTCTTCGCAGGGCGGTTGGCCTTTTGCCAGGCCCCTCTTCCTCAGGCCCTCTCGGATCTCTTCCTCCTTGACCATCACCTGGAAGGTCTCGAGCTCAGGCGTCTCGTACCAAAGATGGGTGTGGCGTTTTGTGCTGCGGGGCTGATTCAATGGGACAATTGAGAGGAAACCAGCCAGAAAACGGGCTTCCCCCATTCCTGAGGCAAAGGCAGAAACCCTTTCAGCAATCTTCCCAAAGTCTGGATGCAACAAATAACCATAGTGGACAAAACCGATAGGGGGCCACCCGATACTGATATCCTGGCTGTGTTGTGAATGACTCACCTGCGCCGAACCTCTTTGCTTCTTTTGCCGCTTGCCTCGGAGCTATTGAGGACAACATCCACGACGTCATTCATCTGGATGAACCATCAAAAAACCAACAAAAACAAAGAATCAGGGTTCCGATTGAAAGGAACCTTCTGCATTGGTCATTGGTGAGCATTGGTCATTGGTGAGGTGGCAAACTTTGTTTGTGAGATCTAAACAAACATGTGAGGGGGACGTTGCTTTTTTCTCACAACAGAGTAGTTCCCCCTGTTCCCACCCATAATTCCAATCCCACCCCACCACCCACCATTTGTGGGGTCAAAATTCATCACCATCAACCCCCCCACCCCACCCCGCTCACCATTAGGTGCCCGTTCAATGAAATTCATAGCTGCCCCTCATTGATGGCCACCATTGAAAGCTCCCCCGCCCCCACCCCTCCCACCCTCCAACATGGCAAGACTCCCTTAGAGGAAACTGGTTTTGTGGGAACCCAACCTTGGGTTCCATGTTCGGGACAGGGCTCCCTATACTAGCCCCTTCAACGAGACCCAAGCCACACGCCGACCCCATCGACCCTCACGGTCGCCTGGCTGGGCTTCTCACTCGCCGCCTTCGCCGCCAGAAACTGCGAGTAGCTCCGCCCTTTCGGCACCGAGGCCACTGCCTCACGCCGCGCGAAGCGATGGCAAAGCGATCCCAACCTGAATGGTGTCCGCTGTGTCCACCAAAGGGCCCCCGTATTGAAATCACTCTTGCAGGTAATTATTGATTTCCAGCCAGAGGGTGGGGAGCTTGGAACACCTGGGTTCCCTATGGTCACACGCAATCCTCTTGGCTTCTAGCAACTCCCAAAAATACAAACACCGACAAGTTAACCAAAAGGAACCTGGATAGGCGTACCTGATGAGCCAGCGGGAACAAGTGAATTTGTGTGTGCCCTCTGTCATGAGCAACTGTCCTTGCCCAATCATCAAGAAGTGCAGGTCATTAAAGCATGATGGTACAGCAATCCTCGAGCCCAAGCGAGTAGTTTTGAAACGCGGACCACCGTCCACCATGCGTACCCCAAAGCCGAGACTGCCGTCATGGAGACCCACTGGGGCTTGCTTTTAAAATGCAAAGGGAGGTGGACAAGAAACTTGCTGAGTAACTTCATGACTTCTTTTTTTTTTTGCGCATAAACCGCCGCTTCAGCATGAGCTTCATAATATAGAATGGTTGGATGTGCCGCCTCACCAACGTTCAGCCAGACTCGCTGAGTGGACCGCCAACCACTGGGCAAGCTCGAGTGGTGTCACAACCATTTGTGATATAATTACTGAATCTGCCGACTTCATTCTCCTTGCTGGGACCAAAAGCCCGGTTCCCCTTCGTAACAAACCAGCCATGGGCCCTTCATGACGCTTCGTACACAGCTGATGCCCAGCTCATACCGCCTGGAAAGGAAACGAAAAGCTTTGAGGCCATCTGATGGGTGACAAGTGTCCTCTGCCGGACTTCCCAAAGCCTTAGGGTTTTTGTCGGACTTTAATTGGGAGCTCCGAGCGCAATGGCTGGCCATCGCTCAAAGCATGTTCTCACAAGCACAAAGCGCCGCGCTGCTCAACATTTTTGAGAGCCCACGCCAGGCCTCCGCTACCGCGGCGGCGGCCACTTCCCCCTCCAACCCCAGCTCCGCCCGCAACTCCGCAAAGGCGGGGCTGGCGAAGCGCCGGGATAGCTCCTCTGCCGAAACGAAAGGGAAGGGGAATCCAAAAACAACTCGCTATAGGAGGTTGCAAAATAGAGGACCCAAGTGTCAAACCATGGGGGGAATGCTGGAGTACCAGCTTGAAACAGCTGGCTATCATTATTGATCGGGACCGCTTCGTGGACAACTTTTGAGCTCCTAGCCACCTAACAATCGTCGTCCAAGGAGGATGACCAGCAAACAAACAAACTCGCAAAGCACGCCAACCACCAACAGCAAGCAAACTGTGAAATTGAGAGGGCTGCGCTGCTTGATACGGGATTCCTCAACCAAGGGGTCGCGTTCATGACTGCCACGTGTTAGTTGAGGCTAAGGTGCATTGAGGTGACCAAAATTGTTCATTCTGAAAAAGGAAGGTCATCGTTTCCGAAAAGAGAGGTGCGCAAAGAGTGCGCTGCCGACATCCAGTTCCTTAGATCGCGTCTCCTCCAGCGCCTGGCTCCTTGGAGACGTCTTCACCGTGGCTCGCACGTGCCGCAGCAATCCTTGAAACTGCCGCAGTGCCTCGGCCTCGTTTTCCCCGTCCGCCACTTCATCCTCGTAGAGCCCAGACTTGGGGTAAGCTTCCAATGAGCGCCAGATCAGCTCCCGCAGCGCCGCCTGCTGCTCAAGCCACCGCCTGGCATGCCGCGCGTCCTCCTCCGTGAGCCTTCCAGACATCTCGCATGGCGCGGAAATCGAAGCGAAGAATCGAGTCAGCCCGCGCGAGCGCGCCAAGGGCCTGCGAACGGAAAGGCATGGGCCTTTCCGCGGCTTAGATTCCAACGGGGGTTTTGCTTTGAGCCAAAGCAGCCGAACTGGAAAACGTGAGAACCCGATATAGGAAACCAAACAGCGCCCAATCGGAAGCCAAAAGGAACATGTTCCCGTCACTGCCTCCAAGACCACTTGAAGCAAAGCAATTCTGCG